GCCCAGCATTATGAGGATGAGCATTACGTTGAGTCTATCTAACTGGGTTCTTGACTGGTTTTAGCAGCAGTCAGTAACTGGGTGCAATAAAAGACAATTGCATTTGTAGGCCTTGGGCTCTTTGATCTCACCACAGGTAGCTGGAGCAGCAGGAAGATCCTTCTGCAGAAGGAACAGTGCAGATGGCCCTACTGTATGTGTATGGGGATATGAGGAGAGGGGTGGGGTGGTGGCTCTGTGCGTGTGGAGGGGAGCATTGTGTGGAGGATTTGCAGGCTTTTTCAAACCAGGTTGACCTGCAGATACTGTCCATCTGTAAAAGCACTCCTCCTGGTTTTCTCTCTCTCCAGCTGAATTTGCAGCGCGAGGCCATTGTCCAGCTCCTACTGGAGAAGAGAGAGTTGGCGGAAGGGCAGAGAGTTAAGCGAACGCCAGGTGAGGACAGGTGTCTGTTCCTTCTGCGTTGGAGCAGCAATCGTCTCAGAATTCACAACACACGCCTTCCCCGGCCAGCCACATAACCCAAACTCGAACATCCGGGTCATAACATGAGGCGTGTTCTTGCACTTCCCACTCATAGCCGATTAATGACACAGCCTACATCAGGTAGAGCCGCGGTCCCGCTCTCTGTAAGTGGAGGGACCCCCAATTTTAGAGAGCCCCAGTCCAGTTAGTCTTACTGGCCATCCTAAACCACAGGGTCTCCAGCCTTGGTCCTGGAGAACCCCAGTCCAGCTCGTCTTATAGGTCCCGAATCACCATTTGTTTAAAAGATTGTGAGCGCTTTGAAATGAATGATCGAAGAGACGATAATTTGTGTGTTAAGGCCTTCGATCATCATGGGATGAAAGGTTTTCATGTTCTGGTAAATGATCAGTAACAGTTTGACAGGTCTGAGCCTGTGAAGGCGCAGTCTTCTTCAGTGGAACTCAAGCCAGTTCAGAGCTTTTCTTGTGTAGGCGATTTCACTCCCTCTCCCTCCCCTTTCTAAGCACAGGTCTTCTTCATCTGTGCATTTATGGACACAAAAAAGTGTCGCTTTCATTTTCCTGCAGCCTTTTTTGTCCTATGACTGAAAAACCAGCTGCTGTAGGAAACCAGCTCGCTATGCTGTTTGCTAGCTGGGGGAAGAAGAAGAGGGAAGTAGTTTTGTTGGAGCTATTCTATTTGGTTTCCATTGTTAAAATTCATAGAAGTGACAATAACCTCCAGCACTCACTTGCGGCTTCCTCCATTGATCTTAAATATGACACAGATATTTGTATCGTTAAGAAAGGATGTGTATTGAAACATGAGTTGTTCTGTTCTGTGACTAAAAATAAGTTATTAAAGACATTTTAATGGGGTATATTTTGTCACAGTGTGCACCATTAAAGCTTTCCTCCCCTGCTATCCATTTTACTGCATATTGAAAAAGCACACATTTTAACTAAAAATAAAATGTGTGAGTTTATGGTCAGTACCTGGTTGGGAGACCTCCAGGGAAAAACTAAGGTTGCTGCTGGAAGATGTGTTAGTGGGGCCAGCAGGGGGCGCTCACCCTGCGGTCCATGTGGGTCCTTATGCCCCAGTATAGTGACGGGGACACTATACTGTAAACAGGCGCCGTCCTTTCGGATGAGATGTAAAACCGAGGTCCTGCCTCTCTGTGGTCATTAAAAATCCCAGGGTGTTTCTCGAAAAGAGTAGGGGTGTAACCCCGGTGTCCTGGCCAAATTTCCCATTGGCTCTGACCAATCATGGCCTCCTAATAATCCCCCTCTATGAATTGGCTTCATTACTCTGCTCTCCTCCCCACTGAGAGCTGGTGTGTGGTGAGCGTTCTGGCGCACTATGGCTGCCGTCGCATCATCCAGGTGGGTGTTGCCCCTTGTTGTTGTTGGGGGGAGTCCCCATTACCTGTAAAGCGCTTTGAGTGGAGTGTCCAGAAAAGCGCTATATAAGTGTAAGCAATTATTATAAATTATTATTATTATAATTATTACTTATTATTATTAATTATATGTCAGCCGTTTTATCGTCCTTGTATCGGCTCCCTGTGAATTGCAGACCATAATTCAAATGTATATGTTGCTATAAGGGTGATTGTTTTGGCCCCTGACTACGAGTGAACCCGTCCTTCCCTGCACACCTGCACGGCTTTGGCAGTCTTTGAACTTTTGCTTTCTTTCCGATCCCAATAACGGGCCCCGAAAACTGGGAGAATACGGTCCCAGTTCTCTGGCTATGGGCTGGGAGATTAATCCAGTTTTACAAATCAATCAGCACCTTCAAGACATTTCTTAAAACCCACCTGTATACTTTAGATTTCAGTTTGGTCCGAGTTCCCGTACTGCAGTGTTTATGTTCTACTGTTTTATTGTAACGTCCGTTGAGAGATATCATGAAATGCGTCGTGTAAAGATTATTTCTCAGATTTGCAGCATTTTATCCACTTTATCCAGCTGCAGACAAATAAGAGATGCAGCAGCAGACTGTGTTATTGGACACCGGGGATCAATTTCATCTTCTTTTCTCTCATCAAGTATCATTTCTGGGAGAATTGATTTTTTCACCAGTTGCAAAAAGCATTTCAATCTTTGCACTACATTTTTCTGTTTATGTGTGAATTGTTTTGTAACTTTAGTTAAACAATATCCCAATTGAAACCTTCTGCCCTACAGACACCCCAGTATTTGAAATGACACTGAAACCAGCTAAAGTGTTTGGATCCGGGGTGCATTTCCCACGGAAAAAAGAAGATCTTCATTGAACAGAACGGCATTCTTGTGCGTCAATAAATGTCAATAAGTACACGGGCACATTTATTCATTCGTTCTTCTGGTTTACTCTACAGTCCGAAAGCACAAGAACGGACGAAATGGCCGGAACAAAGTGGCGGCTCATTTTGAAAGTAAGTGCGATGCCGTTGGTTGGTTCCGTTTTTGCCTTTGTAATCACTGTCACACCTGGCCAAGCCCTGCCTCCCATATGAGTGCTGACTTTCGGCACTGCATGTTTCAGGCTCACGCGCACAGACACAGTTACATTGCTGTATGGAGTAACAGGTAGATGGCTACCTGTTAAGATAAAATCACTTTGGCCATATCCAATTTCTTGCATTAGGAAACTGTCTTTTCACAGACCCCAACTTGCTCTCCCAGGCACACAGACAGGAAGAGAAGCTTAGGGTCAGAGTGCAGGGTCAGCCATTTTCACAGCACCCCCAGAGCAGTTGGGGTTAAGGGCCTTGCTCAGGGGCCCAACGGAGTAGGATTCCTCTGCTGGCCGCGGGATATGAACTGGCAACCTTCCAGCCACAGGCGCCGATCCTTTGCATAGGTTTAAAAACTCTGCAATGTCACCGTGTATCTGGCCGTACAAGCACACAGCAGATACAGCAAAGTCAATACAACAGCCGTTTGTTTTTCTGTTTGTGCATCTGTCTGGGGTGACATCAACGTTAATTTCTGTCACTTATTTTTTACAGTTCTTTCCCAGACGCATGGTGAGTATCATTATTACTGTTGTTTGTATCAAGCTGCTGCTGTTGTTGTTGCAGCAGTATCAGTAGCTCTGGTAGCAGGAGTAGTCACAGTAGCAGTGGTAATGGAAGGAGCAGCAGTACTTACAGTATAGTAGCAGCACCTCAGACGTGGCAAACTTTGTAGTGTAGTAGCAACAGCAGCAGGAGTAGTAGCTGTAATGGCAGTGATAGTTGCAACAGCAACAGTTAAAGTACTAGCTGTATTAGTGTTAATACCTCTTCTGAGTGCTGTGGAGCAGTTCTCCAACCACGCAAATGGGAGATAATCCCCAATAGTCAACTAATTTAAAACAGAGCATGCTAGCATTTCATGTTTGCAACTCTGTTTTTATAGGAGAGGCTCTGCGGTACAGTGCTAGTTTGTGTGTTTTTCTTCCAGTGGGCGAGGATGGCATCATAAAGGGATGGACAGAAAGGGTTCTAAATACCACTAAGGCCGTGCACTACGACCCCAACACAGGCACCTTCACAGTGGAGCACAAAGGCCTCTACTATGTCTACTGCCAAGTGAGTCCCAGAAATGTGCAAAGATCTTATAGGACTGGAGTCCAGAAAACACAGCACGTTTGTTCTGGCACACTTTACAAACCAAAGCACTGCAGTATTGAAGTTGTTACTTTTTGTTTGAAAAACGTCTGAAATGTAAAAAGGGACTAGGATTGCAAATAGTGTTTCAGATTTATGGTTCAGTTTCTCCAGTGCGGATTCAAACCAGAGCCTGTGTCAGGTTGAAGCTGAATGAGGCTCAGTATGCCTTCCATGCAGGAGTTCTAATCACAATTTGTTGTGTTTTGCTTTATCTGATCTCCGTCTTCATCAGTTAAGAGACCTGCCACTCAGGAGATGGGAGAAGCCCAGATCTTCTGCTTGTTTCTATTTCCATATGTGGTGTGCGTTCTTACACGTGCATGTGTGCATTAATCTAGCACATGAAAAGCTGATTAGGATCCAAAACCATTAGCCCATTAGCCAGCTGTGAAAGGCATTCCTGAAGAGGTAGTGTACCATGCTCTGGGACTTGGCCTGAGCTAGCCTCTCATCAGCAGCTCCTGGGACCTGCTAACACTGCAGAGACCAGGAGACAACTGGCAGGTGGGTGTGCCATAGAAACACGGGAACTGGTCCTCCTTCTCCTCACGGAGTGCCCTATTTCCATCTCTGGATCATACCCATACACATTTCTGTAGTTTGGCTTTCAGGCAGTCAAATATGTTTGCGTGTCCCTCTGCTTTTCTGCTTCAGGTCCACTTCAACGACAAACAGACCACCTACGTGAAACTGGATGTGCTGGCCAACCAGAGCAAGGTGCTGCAGTGCATGGAGGGATACAGCACCACCCCCTCCTCCGAGACTCATCCCTTTCACTTCCTGAAGCCCTGCCAGGTGTCTGGTCTGCTCCAGCTGTCCAAGGGCACAAGGCTAAGAACTGCTACTGGCCCCTCCTTCTCCCTGCACTCCAGCCCACGCCATTACTTCGGCCTCTTCAAGGTCATCTGAGACTGTTGCACAGGGCGTCGCCCCACTGGGCAAACCCATCCACTGAGAATGAACTGAGAGATCCCGCGCCCACATCGCCTCCGATGCACCACAGCTAAACTGAATTAAAACATTCTTATCGGAGCAGCAAAATCCAGTCTGAAGATCTCATTTCTGCAGATTCCTCTTTTTGAAAGACTATCATTATTTGGAGTGTATGATATTGCCCTTTTCTCAGTTAACATCCATATGGAAACCCAACATCACTGCTTGTGAACCCTCCATCTTCCGAACCAATGAGAGCTTCCCCATCCTCTCCCAGACAGCGGTTCCTTTAAAGCAGAACTCTGTCATTATGTGCTGCAGCCTGGACTACAAAAGCAGAAGAACCGCTGTGAGGACAATTCACGGATGTCAACAATTCACATGCCACAGGACTTTCCTTCCCCTGCCCCACAGTTGTGAGAGGCACAGCAACTTGAGAAATGAATTTGATTAATTTGGCTTTGTTTACCTGTGCAGTGACTTCCCACACATTCACTGTGGTATGAACCAGGACATGGGTCCAAATTTCTCTCTTGTTCCTAGGGTTCACGGTATAGCAGTACTGGGTCCTCTCCAGTGGTGATGGAACCACTTCAGTGACATACCACTATGCTCCACGAAGCTGCACTTTGCTAGCTACAGCTGGAGAGACCAGTTGTGCCCTGCTCTTCAGGCAAGGACGTTTCCATTGTTGAGCATTTGGCACTGTGTAGCTTACCATCCCAGCAGTCTAATATTTCAATCATCAATCAATCGTTTTTTTTTCTAGTTAGCAGGGCAGGGAGTTGGCCATCCTCAGTCCCAGAAAGTCAAGACACATCCATCTATCAACACTAGGTTCAATGGCACTCTGACCAGTTAATGAGGAAGTTTATTTCAGTGAAGTTATGTACTGGAATGGGAACCTGGATTGTGCCAAGCCTCCAAAAGGAGTCAGCTTCTAAACTTTTCAAAAACTTGCAATTGTTCCCAAATTTTTAATTTGGATGTATTCTGAAACCTGCTGGAACATGACGGTCTTGGATCAGAATGTGTTGATGCCAGCGGAGATGCAGCACTGTGTGGAGATATGAGTCACACATTCCTAACAGGTGTATGCTGGACTGCCAGCATTTCCTCCAAAGAAAACAGTGGGGTTCTAACTTGCTCCAGTCAGAACTGAAACCGTACTGAACTGTAGCTCCTTCTACAGGCAGACAGAAAGCTGGAACTGAGCAAGAGGATGGTTGGGAGGCTGGAAAGCATGTGTGGATTTGGAGCCAAAGGAGTCTAAGCACAAGAGTAGCCCCAAGTTGGACTATCAAGTGTCGCACAAAGATAGCTACGCTATTCAGTTACAATTTTACTGTGCAGGCACTAGACCTGAGTCTGCAGATTCTGGAAAGAATGGAATAAACCCAGGCTTTCCTGGAAAAAAATCACAGTTGGAAAAAGCAGCAAGAAGGGAGTCTTGGAAAAACAATATGAATCAGATGAAGTGTGATGTTCCAGTAAACTAGACTGCGTTGTGCTAACAGTGCCTGCAAACATTGTTAGCATCCACACTGGACAGCTACAGTTTATGGTATATCGTAATAATATTGAGGTGGGAGGGATTGCAAAGGCGATGGCGAAGCTCAAGCTTGGGAAAGGTACAGAAATGTCACAGAAAAATAACAAACCAAGGGGTGATAATCCTTGATTGCCACAAAGCCTGCATTAAGCATCCTTAAGTAAAAGATTAACTAACAGCTTCTTTGGAGGATAATGGAAAAACCTCAGGACCAACTCAGCCTGCAGCTCTGTTTCTTTTTGGAGCAGCAGTATAAGGGATTACTTTGTGCCCGTGCACACTGGACCCTATGGAGAGCTGAGTAGCACACCAGTGTTCTAAAAAAAAACAAAAAAACTTTTTTTTGTAAACATCATCATCAGGCATCATGTGACTAAGTGGAACCTGGAATTACTGTATGGAAGCAGTGTTGTGAAGGGAGGAGGAGATCAATCAGTTTTTGAATTCTTGGAGATCTGTGATTTATTTGTATTTTTAATAATGTAATACGTTTCGATACAAATAATCCAATATATATATATAAACATGATCTGTGATGCTACTGAGCACATGCTGGGATTCTAATGTGTATGTCCAGTAAGCTCTATCCTTATACCTTGCAGTGAGGGACAGTAGTAGAGGGGTCAGTATTTAGTCAATATTTTGCCTATGCTTCTTCTACCAATTTGAGTTTGTGTAGTGCCGTTACGAGGAATGATCATGAAGGGTAACCACAAATTCCTATTAAGCCCTCCTTGTTTTTGATTTGTACATCAAAGCTGTAATCAGACACAAAACAGGAAAGTCGGAGGTGTGCCCGTGTGTGGCAAAACCCAGTCACAGTCAGCTAGTGACAGTCCTAGTTATAGTCAGCTAATATCCTTGACTGATGCATATGACGCCTGAATTGTAGACCCAATGAGTCAGTGGTTAAAAAACATGGGTAGTATCAGGACTGAGCAGGACCCCCAGTAAGTTTGTGATAGTTGGCAACATCCAGCCTTGTTTGGAAAAAATCAGCAGTCATAGAGATTTCAAAGAGAATAGCGAATTATTACAGGAATGAGCAGAAACCATCAGTAAACAACAAGTCCTTTGCACAGCAGTCCGACATCAACTGCATGATCATTTGGCTGCTTTCTTGAGGCAGAAAATATCACCTCCACATCAGGCCAGATCATATAGGTTCTGAACTTGATTAACCCTTATCCTCAAAATAATGATGGGTAATGATGACATCATGCTCACTTTCCTGCCAGAGTCATTCATTCCTTGACAAGCCACCAGCTCCACAGCACTGTAGATGGGAGGGCCAGAAGAGTTAGGAGGCGTGGCATGTTCCATGGGAAGCAGAGTCTTCCAGTCTGGCCAGTAAGAGTCTACGTACTTGCCACGGCACTCAGTCAAGTTGTGGGATCCCTCGAGCTGAGGGGTACGGGTCAGAAGGAGCCAATGACGTGCCCCAGACCCGAGTAAATTCTACAGCAGAGGGAAACATCCACAATTTGAATTTGAAAAATGCCTTGACGTCTTGTGACACTTAAGCGCCCTAAAGTGCTCAATTGATCTAACTGCTCAGAGTTACCATTTTGAAAGAGAAGTCTTAACAGGTGCTGGATTAAATGATTCTTTAATATTGTACAGGACTGTAACACCTTCGCTTCTATGCGTTATTCAGTCCCCTTTGTTAACCAGCGATCAGGGCATCAAAAGGTTTACTTTTACTGTATTAACTTTCTTTTTTTTTCTGTACTACCATCTGACGTACAATTAAAATAGCTTTATTTTTTATAAACAGCAGAAATAATAAAAAAGATAAAGATGTGTTGAGAGCCAGTTCATTGTGTTGAGTGACAGGCTGGCCTCTTTCATAGCTGAGCCACTCTGTGGTCACACCCTGAATGCAGAAGGATTATTTTGCCGGTTCTAAGCACAGTTTGTTTGTGCCTGCGGTCTCCTAATATCTCTTGCAGTAAAAGCTTCCACCTCGTGGACAGAAGCCGGAATGTTGCAGGTTCCATTCCAGGCTGTGCCCCCAGGCCACAAGGCTGGAAGAGGGAGTCCAGACACTGAGCACTATTGGCCCCTTGTTGGCCGTTGCGGAGTTACCCATCAAAACTCCAGCGGACTAAGACAGGATCACCTTAACAACACTGCTGCACTGGAGAACGTGCGCCTCATTCTTACAGTGCTTTACAAATGTATTTAAAATATTGAAATACATACTAAAATCACCACAGGGAACACAGCAAAAGAAGCACATTATCTTTGAGCCTGCACTCAGTTTTGATTTTGCAAAAGCACAGCTGAAAAGAGCCATTGTCTCTGTAGGTGCAATAAAAAAAAAAACAGTCTAGAGCTCCGGTACTCCACCAGGTGAGAGGGGCTGTTGCAGTCGCTACAGAAGGCTGGCAGGTACGCCTCAATGACCTGAATGGCTGTGCTTCAGAGGCAAGCACGCCACTTGCGCCAAACACCTGAAAAGCCAAAGCTCTTGCAGAGAATGGAAAAGCCAGCAAACGATTGAATGACCTCATGCATTCCAGCCTTTTCGACTCCCCAACCGTAAAACACGTGTCTGCGGTTTTGAACTGCATGCTGCTTACTCACGGGCTTGTGCCCTGAGCCCGCCTGTCCCGTGCTGTGTCAGTGTGACACAAAGCTTGTGCAACGCGCTCGCAAATGGGAAGTGGGATATCCGAGGCCCCTCTCTCCTGTATCCCCCCCCACTTGAAAAGCTCCTCAGCTCCTCTGGCAGAGCACAAGCGCCCCCCCCCCATCCCCCAGTGCAATCTAACCCCCTCTCTCTCCAGATCCCCTCTCCCCAACTTTCACTTCCTATAATTGAACCAGATGGCCACGCATTCCTTTTTTCCAGTTTCAGCACAAACATGCTTTATTGTGTTTTTTTCTCTTTTCTTGACCTTTAGCTGCTGGTTTCTCAATGTTCCTGTTGCTGGATTAATTTCACTACTCCATGCTGGCCTTGTTTTTCCTGTACGCTGGGGGCTGGGTGATGGCAATTTTTTGGGGTTGATAAGTGCTAAAATCCTAAAATCCAGAGCCTGCGTCAGCCGTGACAGTCCGCCACTGTGAGTCACAATCGGCGATTTTGAATTGTACACACAAACTGTTCTTAGAACCAGGATAAAAATAAACTCTGGGCTATAAGTGGAGTTCCAGGCTCTTAGATTGGGAAATCTTTGTTTAGAAATTAGGTCTGATGTTGGTGCTGAGATTTCCTGGGAGACATCACAATAGCGAGTGTATCCACTCCCATATTGAAGTTATCCTTCCCTACTGAACTGCTCTAGCAACCTCACAAGACAGGGGTTCTCCATTCATTTCAGAAATGCCTTTTTCATGTCTTGCATGTAAAAAGTATTTACGCAGAATTAACCGAGACCTTTTCTTTTTTTTAGTCCTTTATTTTTTTTTTATTACAAACAAAAACAAAATAAAAATCAGAGATTGCGCCTATTAACAGTGTGCTCGGTGCCCGCACTCTTTACAACCACACCACGAAACCACCGATCTCTCGGAAACCACGACGGCTACAGTGACCAACGCAACGCAAACAAAAGCCAACAAAAGGAGAAAAACGGGACGAAGAGTAAAAGTGAACGACTGTCCTCGCGTACAGTGGAGACCAGGCTGTACAAGCGCCCCCCCCGCCACACACACAAGTAAAATATCGCATGACCAGCTATTCAGCTGAACTAAAGGCTTTGTTTCCGTTGGAAGGCTCTAAATTTCAATGCCCAATAATAGGGCTTCCCTCTGACTTCCTGTCGGATGGAGCAGATCCTAAGAGCACCTTCTTAGTTCTGCGACTATTTCTGTGAGGCTGTCCAGCTATACTCCAGACCGGGACTGTCAAAGCTACAGTCTCAGGGGGCACCAGTATTGTTTTTTATCACAGCTGAGACTGAATGATAAAGGCAATAATTAGATGACGAATTCGAAACCGGACCCTTCCGACACCTTATCCCCGCTCTTTAGATGCTGGAGATACGCAGAGACCTGCAAGACCAGCTGGATTGGTGTCCTCCCAGGCCTGGAGCTGGGCATCCCCGCTTGAGACCCCCAAAACGATCCGGAGTCTGTCCTCCACGGGGTTCGAGCTGGGCGGACGCAGATGGTGGGGAATTGTATTTAGTGCAGACTGCTTTTCAGAAATTTGAATACTTGCACCATGTTCTCTCAAATGTACCATGTTGTATGCTGCATGTATCCATCACTACTGTTGCTTGTCCAAACAAAGTCCAATAGGTTATTCAAGCAAGATCTGCCTTGTCTAAATCTATGGTGAGCACCCTTAAGAATCCTATTGGCATATATTATCCATACATATGCTATATCATATACAGTATATACACTGTAGATTATATAATTAGAACTATATATCATTCTCATAACCTTATACTGTATGTCACAGAGGTCAAACTTGCTCATTTATAGAATTATATACAGTGCCTGCATCTTTTTAAACTTGGCATTGTGTTGCATGTGTCTGCTAGTTTAAATACAAGAGAAAGCAGGTCTGTCTGTGTACATCTGTCATGCTGGAATTGTGTTTTTCTAGTGGATCAAAGCCTTATAAGTTCAGCTCAGTAGCTCACTATTCAGGTAAGTTACCTGTACATTTCTTGACCCCCTCGCCCAACCGCCCTAAGGAATAAATCTGCCCGTCTTGTTCATGAATTCAAGGGCAAACTGGACATGACCGAAAAAGAGCTTTTTCTAAAAAAAAATTACAGGATCTTTTTAATTACATTTTAGATCTCAGAGGTTAATACGACAGCCCTCCTCGTTTATCTTTCATTTCTGTAACTTGTGTAATCAACATGCCAAAATTGTAATGAAGAGACCGAGAGCAATGTAACCGATGTATGTTTTCTGTTTTTTGGTTGAAGCTTCTGTAATAATAACAACAACAGCAATAACATCAACAAGAACAACAACAACAACAATAATAATAATAACAATAATAATAATAATAATAATAAAAAAACAACAATGATCAAAGTTTAAATATGCAAAGAATATCACAGAATCCGTATCCCAGAAACAAAACACAATGGGTGGAAAAGCAGCTGGGGGGCCCGGGTTCGGGGACCTGCAGGAGTTCAACACTGAATTTTGTACCAGATTCTGCAGAACGGAACCAGAAGATGCCCGACAGCCCCTGAGCAGCCCAGCGCCCAGAAATAAAGCGACACCCAAGAAGAGGCGGGGTTTATAAACTCGCACGGCGCGACCGGAAGAGGAAAAAGTGGGGCGAGGCGAGCAGCACCTCGACACAAGGAGGGTGATGGGAAACCGGGTTGGCTGGGGGTTCAGAAAGTAGATGGCATTACAGATCTGCATCTGCGGCTGCAGGTGTCCGAGTGACACGTGCCCCGTTTCTGTACTGTTCAGATCCTGCCAAGTTTCGTAAACTGAAGAGTGCCAAGTCCAACACCGCAGCCTGTGGGGCATTAACTCGTGTGCTGTGACTCCCTGGAGAAAGGTTGCTACTCATTTTCTGCTAAGCTCTCGTACAACCTCTGATCATTTTCTTTCTCGGCCGGCCAGATTGCTCACACACGGACGACCAGAGGAACAGATCTCGTTCAGCGGGAGGCAGACAAAATTAAGGCAACGTGCGGATCAACAATATGCAGCAATCAAATTTAAATGCTGCGCAAAAAAAAAAAGAAGAATCACAAAAACGAACGAAAATCCAAATAAAAAAAAATAATTATTCAATTCATACAATATTACAGAATCAGTTCTTTTTTTCTTTAAATTCTGGTCTTGTACGATCTGGCCTCCCTACAGTTTCCCCCTAATTCAACAGGTGAGTGAATGCCTCACTCCTCTGTCAGACCTGCTGTGGAGTGGGCCTACTGGGGCAGAATGGCTGCCACAGGTCACCACACTGGTGGCTGGTGGTGACAGTTAGTCCCCACCTAAGTGTAAAGTGTTTGGAGATCCATTAGGAAAGAAGGGATAAAAAATAGGAGGGGGGGGGTTGATTGCAATTATTTTTTAAGAAACGCTGTTTAACAGAATATCTTCTGAAATAATAATCATTCTTTACATTTATATAGTGCTTTTCTGGACACTCCACTAAAAGCACTTTAGAGGTCATGGGGGTCCCCTCCACCACCACCCGTGTGCAGCCCCACCTGGATGATGCGACAGCAGCCACACTGCACCAGTGCTCTCCCCACACACCAGCTCTCAGTGGGAGGAGAACAGAGTGATGAAGCCAGTTCAGAGAGGGGGATTTGACTTGTAAAGGCCAGGGGGGAAATCTGGCCAGGATGCTGGGGTAACACTAGGGGTTCTTTTCGTGAAATGCCCTGGGATTTTTCAAGGACCATGGAGTGTCAGGACCTTGGTTTTATGTCTCACCTGAAGGGCGGGTTTTTGAAGGAGATGTCCACTTACAAGGGTAGGGAAAGGACTGGGTCATCTGGGAAGTGCAATCGGAGTGCGCGTCGCATGGCAGTACCGGCCAGACTTTCGGGAGCAGCGCCCCCAACTGTTCTGTAGAGCTTGGCCATCAGCTCAGACCTGGCAGCTGTGTGTTTGAGCTCCCAGGGTAGTGGTTCCCACCCTTGGTCCTATGGGATTATTCCCATTTCTGGTTCTTGCTCCAGCTGGCTGCTTGAATCGTAGACTAATCAAACTCAGATCTGATTTTCAATAATCAAAAGTAGCGTTCAGCTCTTAAAGAGCAGAAAAGGATTCGGACTCAGTCTCAACCCTTTACCGATTTCTGGGTTTCAGAAATTGGGCATTGCTGCCTGAAATGTAGCCAACCCATCCCAGGGAGAAGGAAAAATCGGAGTGTGGGAGTGTGCGATACACTGCCTTTCCCACCTGTGTGTTTGTCACAGGCTGATTATATTCAGTGGTTTATAGACATTAATTTGGGATAATTTGGGAGGTTTAGGATTCCAAGTTGTTGAAAACAATGTCCTTGGAAGAGGGTAGTTTTGAAACCACTGTTTGAGTGCAGAAACCAACAATCAATAAGTCTAAGATTCAGTGAAGGTTCCACCATATAATCTCCTTAGGTGCACCCCAGTACAGTCTGATCCCTTAAACATAAAGAGGAGACTGGGGGTGCAGACAAAGAGATCCCTTCATTTTTTTTTGTTACCTCTGTAACCGACTAGTTTGCCCCATTGAGGATTTAACCATTTTTATAAACGATTCTTGGGGAGCAAAGGTGTTATACCCAAGCATGAATGTGAATTTATGAATGTACCCCCAACATCATCCCACCCCCTTAGTTAATGCCCTGTGCCTGTACCCCGATAAGCTTTACCATGGACTGAGCATGTCTGAAAGGACAAGTCAGGAGTGTAGGGTCATGTGACAGAGAGCTGGGGTCCAGGCACAGAGAACCGTGTGCTTGTGCTGGTGGGTGGGTCAGGACACCCTGCACAGACACCGCGCAGTGTGTCTGCGTGAGCTTCTAATTAAAGGGGAACTGCAGCACTATTTTGTTATCTTTCGGGGTTTGAAAGAATCGGCATTAACGAGTGCCTTTCAAACCACCGTGAAAGTAAAATGTACACAGTTACATTTAAAACCTCCAATATACGTCACAAAATAGCCCAAATTTTTAGGTATATGTAATGCCATGTTCTGTGATTCAGAACGAGCCAACAGAACATCTGGCGACATTCTAAACAAGTAGGCTCATGAATACATCTCTTTTAATCCAATAGAAATATTGCTCTCAACCTCGAGATGGTGTTGCCGACAAATAATACTTACTCGTTAACTCTGCGTGCAGATCACGTTGGAACATTGCACCGGCGAAATGTCTGCTGCACAACCGGTACTTATTCGCTCTCACATCCCATTACATTAGCCATGACAGGGACTAGTGAGTGGGAAGGGCTGCTTCATGTCGCAATTGCTGGGAACTCTCCCTCTCGCCTGTGGCGAGACCAAGCGTTTGCGACAAAATGGAGACCACGTAGGACTTTCACAAAGTTCCCAGATTTTGTGCTTTAATTTGGAACCTGTAAAGTTTTCGCGAAACCGTCAATTACTGCTACCACGATTTAATAACCAGTCTGAGAAACTGGGACTGCAGTTCCCCTTTAAGGTTTCCCAGTATTTCCTCCTTTCAGATTTCACCTGTTTTGCATTTCCTTTTCCCGGATTTTGTCAACTTTAAACCTGTCCTGTGATGACACACCAATGTTAGTAACAGGAGAAAAGAGGCTTGAAGACCCTCACACAGCTCCCAACAGAATGAGGTGTGGGCCTGACTGATATTTTCATCGTCCCAGCAGTTGCACACGGATGCAGCTGAATCCCCAATGAAACCAAATAACAGCATTAATCCTCCCAGCTATCTGTTCCGTGTCCTGCCCCTGCTGTGATGGGCCGCGTCGAACAGCGTGAAACGGCATTATCCGATCAAATCTGACGTGCAGCGAGAACATCCGACTACAGGGCAAAGGTGACTAGGCTTCTTTTACAATTAAACACACTGCGAGGAGGAGCACCATCGATGGCTCTGCCATTGCTGGATATAATAAACAAGACGGGGTCAGGAGGCCAGAAACAGGAAAGACGGAGGGCCAGCTTACAGCGCGCGCGAGTAACACAGCATGTGAAATGATTCAGACCCAGTGTGCGTGGTGTCTGTTTTGGAGGCGTGTGCAGGATGGGCCAGTGAGGGTGTGTGCGTCTGTCTGTGTGTGGGTGACAGTGCAGCTGGGCTCAGTCATCAATGCAGATCACCTCTCCGCTCCTCTGCTCTCTTCTCTCCAGGATGTCTCCTTCCCTCTCTTTCTTCACAGCAATGGGGGGGCCGTTAAGCACTGGGGAGGGGGTGGGGGAGGTAGAAAGAGGAAAGAAGAGCTGTTAACTTACATCACACTGCCAAAACAGTACTGCTTCCTTGCCAGAGGGAGGCAAAAAAATCCCCATCAGAGACACATCTTCCCCCTTGTCCTCTTGCCAGTCCCATGGAAACTCCCCTGCAATTGGATGTACTGCCCCCACCCCGCCCCCCTGCCAACAAAGCAACGCCCACAACCTCCAACCAATCAAACCAGGTTCATCCCTTCCTAGCCACACCCAGGAAAACTTCCAACCTATCAGATACAGCCCCCCAGTCCAACCCAGAGAAGCTTGTACATGAGAACATGTCGGCTATAGACAAGAGAAGAGGTTCTTTTTCATACTACTAATCAGATGGGCAATAACTTACCCATTCAGCCATTTTAAAGGATCCCAGGGAAAAAGCTTCAACAACCTGTCAAGAAGTGTGTTGCTGACCCTCATTGTAATTTTCTGTAAAAACCTGCTTTCTGGTTTCAGTCCTAAATACCAGACAAGACTCCCCTCTGTTCAGCTATCCAAACCCCCTCCAGTCCACGTGTTTTACACATTGCCTCTGACCCGCACTCTCTCATCGTCTCCGTCTCTTGTCCCAGCCCACGGGGGTAGCTTATGAAGCCAGCCTCCCTGCTCTCCTCCTCTTGCGATTGGCACTGTACTCCCAAATTGTGTCACCAACCCATGTTATCTTTTCAGATAGATCAGAAAAACGCAGCCCTGTTGCTAGTCTTATCCGTTTCTCGCTCCTTATGAAAACTGGGCTGTGGGAGTTAAAAGGTTATTGATCACTGTACTAGAAAATCTTAACCGTTAACATCAAACCCTCCCTTGCTTGTATTAAGAGCCTGTGCCATTCATTTGCTTTACTGCCTTCTGAAACTTTTTATTTTTGGTAAAAACTAAGAAACGTGAAAGTGTCCCACGCTCGGCCCACACACTCAACACGTCGCTCACGGCAGACTCAGCAGTATCCTTAAGTGACGTCTCTATCAGAAACTCGGCACCGCTGCCTTTTTTCACACGCTAAACCTCATCCAGCTTCTTCTGCAAGGATCCCAGCTAAGCTGGCTCAAGGCACAGACCACCCCTTGCAGCAAGACGCACCTCCTGTTATTAAGACTGTCTTGTTTCAGAAAACGCTGCTCGAAGCAGCTGCCGGCCTGCTGGGAGCTGGGAGTAGGGGGAAGAAGGCTGAAAGGGAGCCAGGATGCTCTTGTACGCCGTTAACAAAATTCAGAAACCCAAGAAAATGGTGGGTGGAGAGTTGAGCTCTGCCAGCAAACAATATCTGCACATTCCTAACAGTATGGGGGGTGGGGGGGGAACATCCACAAAGTCCTGCTTATACTGGAGGCAATTTTCCAGCCTGGAGCACAGACCGGAAACAGCCATGTTTCGACAAGGGACAAGAGGTGAAGTGCTTGTGAATTGCAGGAAGGGGGTCTCAGCGCTGCTTAGTGAAGCGCTGGCGACAGATCACTCAGCTCCTGTCCCACTGGTTGAATACATTTGTTTTTTGCCCTGTGTTTCTTTGTTATGGTTGGCTTGTTTTAGGAGACCAAGATCATTTTAATTAAAAATGGTTTCGTTTAAGAAGGCAGACATCAGGGAAGATTTGCTGTTTTGGCCGTGAATAATCCTGTTTGGGGAGTTGAGCAACACAGCCACCCTCCCTCCCACGCACTCACGCTGAGCTCAGGATAGTGTGTCAGTGAGAGAGAGAGAGATTACAGACAGACAGTGGGAAAGGAGCAGAGTCACAGAGACAGAGAGAAAGAAGAGGGAGAGAGCCATAGAGAGAGAAAAGGCCGTGTTTTAATGCTGTTCATCTCGCGTATAAGAGGGAACCATGGCCTCCTCTCCTTTTGTGCAAAAAGAACCCAGCTTCCTCAGTAAAATGCACCACCCACAAGGAGAGTCCACAAAATTAACAAACACAAAAAGACCCTTCAAAAGCAAGTTGTGACAGCCTTTTTAATTATGCTAGCTTATTACATGTACATTCAGTTAATATAAAATAACATACAAATTCCTCAAGTTTTGTTTTCATACAAACTGGCTGACCTGACCAGAGGGAGGCGGGGGACAGGGGTGTACGGATGTCACACACGCAGTCTCACCCTCACACGCAAGCAATTGGTACTGGAAGAGCAGCTCCTCAGTTCAGGGCCAAGAGTAACAAACTTCCAGAAGCCAAAGGGCAACCCTTTGTTTTTATTGCTTTGTCCAACAAGGTGCTGGTCTGGAAGGGGGTGGATGCAAGCTGATGGTTCGTACTGTGGCGGGGGACACTGCTGCCAGCTTGCAGAGCGGCTTGCCCTGTGGCTCTGTGTAACGTTACAGACCCAGTCAACGACAGAAAGACTTCTGCGACAGTGCACTTAAGTCTCAAGGCTGAGGTTTTGTCCGTAGGGACAGAAAGTGTGCACCCTGTTTATTACATACAAGGGACGGACAAACTCATTTTCCGCACTGTGCTTCAGCGTCAGCCTGTATTACGATTTTGTATTGGGCATTAATCCGATACAAAATGCCTCTCTGAGCTCGACTCGCTGTCCTTCCTGTTCAGACTGCAGGAGCACACCTCAAATTTACCTCAACGCTGAATTAGCTAATCATGCTCCCTGGAGGGAGATCGGCATACCACATTTAATTAAGGAAAAAGAAGAAGAACACTGCCAAGTATGAAAATAAAGGAACATACAAACGGTTTATTACAAACACGGGCTCTTTACCGACCTCAGTCTGAGAGGAGAAAGACTCAGGAGTTTCAGTCTTGGTGAACTGCTTTAATTGACAGTACATTTGGTCCAAAAATAAAAAAAGGCCACGTTTGGGGTGGGGGGAAAGTTCACAAGCTCTTAATGAATTACAAAACATCATCACAGGAATGAGAAATAAATACGTTTCTGCCAACGTCCAGTGCTGATTGCATGGTTCTGAGTTTTGGTCAAAAGTTAAAGGTAAGGATGTCAAGTTTAAGATTATCAATTCAAAGGATCAGCATAAGATACTGTAGCATGATGCCTATGGCAATTCCAGGAACCCATTATGAAACATGAACTCAAACTTCAGGAAGTAAACAGTGGAATATGGGCGGTGCTTTATTGAGGCTTTTACACACCCCTAGTTTGAATTTAGAGGTGTGTGCGCCTCTAAATCAGACATACAAACTCATTTTCCAACCTGTGCTTCAGAGTCAACCTCTATTACAATTTTATATCAGGCATTTATCCAGTAGAAAGTGCCTCTCTGGGTTCTTTGAGCAAGAAATCAAAACCAGACTTATGAGGTAATTGTGGCCATTTCAAAACCAAGGATAAATCAATTGGACAATATCTGGGATAGGAACTCTTACTGGGTGCCAATTCCTCACAATATTTCCAAGGTTTTCCCCTCTGTCATTTACTTTCACTCAACATTTGCCGGGAAACGTGTTAAGCTGTGCTTTCTAAAAGAATACCTGTAAATATCCGTGTATTTGAAGAGTGGAGCAGGAATGACATTTCAAGCCTGATTAAACTTGGCGGAGGGGATTTATGTAGGAGGTTAAAATTTACCCCTCTGTCACAACAGCTCCGTGAGCAGTGTGCACAGACCAGACACTGGTTTAATGGTTTACCTTCCAAAAGGCAGCACCCGCAGCAGAATGGGTTAGGGATTACAGTGAGCAATAACAAGCAAGAGTTAAGACTAAACTGATAACTGAAGAGCTGTGTTCAAGTCCTGACAGTGGACTTGAACACAGCTGTTTGTACTCTTAATCAATGTTCTCTCCCTCAATTGCTCCAGTCTATCCAGCTCTGCCTACGCGGTAATCTGAAATGCTGGAGGTAACCCTGCAATGGACTAGCGTCCAACAAGAGCCATACACTCTCAGTCCACTTAACACTAATGAAACCAGGACAAGCTCTGGCCTGATAAGCCTCTAAGCTAAAGGCTGGGTTTTGTTGCCACAAATGTCTAATGGTGCAAATACCAGTCTTCTGCCCCATTACCTGGTTCAAGCCCTGAGTGGGGCTGACTGGTATGATAGTGTCAGCTCTCTATTATGCTTAGAGCTGTGCATCACATGTGCACATTAGCGGCTCACTTCCCTGTGGGGAGTGAGGGGTGGGTGTGTAATTAGGACTGGAGGGCTGGTGTTCTCTATCAGCTCAGGATCTGTGACTGCAGTTTGCTGTCAGGTTGAGTGGCAGACAAATCAGAAAGGAAACAGGATCAGACCTACAAGGTACCTAAACGGATTTTCTCTTGCACAAACCAGCCACCCTATGGAGCAGGAAAGCGACTCATGGTCATCCAGAGTGGATGGACCCCACTTCTGTGGGATGGAAGTCTCATCCGATTCTTCTGGAAGTACAACGCAAACCCAGGGATAATGGGAAAAAATGCACAGCTTTCATGAAGCACCACAAATACTCAAGTGAATGTCCAGCTGAGCGAAGTAAATCACAGTGAAAAAGGCCGCTCCCAATCTGTGATGTAACTGGACGTCCTGTTTTCTCTACACGCCTGCAGGGGTGACCAGCTTCCCACTTTTACTGCCAGATCAAAACACCCGCTTCTAAAACAGTCTGTCACGTAGACTAAACAAACGAGGCAAAGGCTCGGGCAGCCAGGTTTGAGAGCTCTGCCTGTTTTCTCACACAGGCAGGGCCTGCCGGTCTGGAGCTCTGCTCTTAACGTAAACACGTCTGCAGCGGTGACGGATTCTGAGCGCACCCTGCAGGTGCATCTCTTCCTTTTTGTGGGAGCTTTTTGTGAAAGGCGGGTCCGCCCGATACACAGGCGAGATGATTATTCTCGTGACAGGAAAAAAAAAAAACCCACAGAAGCAACGAGATGCAACACCGGCGCAACTCTGTTCCTCAGAACACAGGCCGACAGGCTGGCAGGACGCGTTCGAAACGCTGGCAGCCCTCGTTAAAGCACACCCCAGCCCCTGCCCCCCCACCCCACCCCCTCGGTCAGGCCTCAGCACTGCACACGCGCAACACCTCTCGCACTCTTTCCAGGCCAGCTGGGAAAGCAGCTTTGGGTCCCATTCGACGGAAGAAGTGTTTTTGAAGAGCGATGGGTTTTTTCAGAGCTCCTGACCCCTGCTTTGGGGCGAGGGTCCTTCTCTTTCACCGGTCGACAAAGACCCGCGTCACGCCACAACAAGCGCTGCCTGGAGTACAGTGAAAATGCCCCGCCAACAGCAAGCAGGAAAAATCTCCCCACTGTGTGACACGCCAAGCCCAGTCTACTAACCGCTGTGGGTGTTTGGCTCTCCTCCATTTTGTGCTTGGTGGGTCACCGCAGTTGAACAGATCTACACGCTTGCATTCCACATTTCCATCGCGAGCAGGACTGCACACATCTCACTTCTGTTCCGCCTGCCTAATCCGAGCCCTCTCTGCCGAGGCTTTTTAACAGCTCGGCACAGTTTCCCCGCCACAGACGGCAATCTGTTCTAGCGTTTGACGTTTCAACGTTTTCTTTGCTTTCTCCTCGTCTCAAACAGGGGGATCAAAGCACCTTCCTAGAACTTGCCTCTTCCCCCAAACAGGACTACAGTCTGCAGTTCCCTTGCCCTGCTCCCAGAAGCTGAATCCGGTTCTCACAGGAGTGTGTGTGTGTGTGTGTGAGAGGACAGGAGTCTTTTTGCTGTCCTTTCAGCTTCCTCTAAAGAATGAAAGCTTTTGCAGAAAAGGGAAATGCGGGCATTCTTCGAAATCGTCTCTGGGGTTCAGCTTTTCTCCTTCTGTCTTCATCTGTTGCTTCTTTTCAGTCCCCAGCATGGAGGCGGGACAACAGCTTTGAGGGTGTCTCCACTTGATCCACCGGAAGACATCAAGTCCCATCCTGACAGAAGGGCAGACTGGCATGAGATGTTTCCAGATCTGTAGTCTCCCGCGAGTTTAAAGGTGCCGTGCAGGAAGGATGATGAGGGGGGGAGACGGGGAGGTGGGCAAGTCTGGGGTACGTGCGGCAGCCGACAACGGCGAGTGGTTGGATCCCAGCGTTTCAGAGCGCGAGTCTTCGCCACTTTTCTCCAGGGGCAGCGGCGATCTGTGCCCGCCTCCTCCCCCGGAGGACTGAACAGAGGCAGAGACGGGAGTGGGAGGTGGAGGCGTGGAGAGGCAAAACCGTTTCAAAGCCTCGGTCTTCGCGGCTTCCTCGGCGTCGGGGTCAGCAAGCGCCAGTTTCTCCGCTCTTGGCGTTGTGACGTGTGGAGGGGGGTGCCGTGCCAGGAGAGCGAAGGGGGAGGGGGGGTGTGCGTGTGTGTGTGTGGGGGGGGAGTCTGGTGCTGAATTGGGCACTCCCGGATCGCTCCGGACCGGGCTTGCGCTGGAGGGGCGTGTGAAAGGGTGGTGATGGGGGAGGTGGAGGGGAGGGGGGAATGGGAGTGGGAGGTGTTTGGGTTTCGTGCTGCCTCACGGTTTTTTCGGCCGCCCGTTGCGGGGCAAGTTCTCCACGGTGTTGCTGAGCCGGTACTTGACGATGATGCTGTGCACGGTGGACTTGGGCATCCGCAGCTCCTGGCCGATGGCCCCCTCCGACTTGCCATCCTTCCAGAGGTCCACCACGCGCTGGCGCTGTAGAATATCGTACTCCTTGGTCTTCAAGCAGGCGGTGGCTTCTGTAGGGCAGATAAGTCACACTGTATACTGGCAAGGTCACAGCAGCAATGCAAACGCATTCTTTAAAAATTTCATTTTTCTTTTGGTCCTGCTTTTGCTCACAATCCCAAATCTTGGGCTCTGAAATGTCTTTCGCCGGGCAGCATGGAGGAGGTGCACGATTTCCTCTTTTTTTCTTTCCCACATTGTCTTTTTGGCGCTCGCTGGTTGTGTTTCTATATTCCCCCTCTCCCCCTCTCCTGTGTTCTCCTGTCGTCTAGACTTGTTTTTTTCCTCTCCTTTTTTTTGAAATCCACTCTGGTTCAGGGCTAAATATTCCGGTACCAAATGTGAAAACATCAAAGAAATTAAAACACAAACGGGCGCACACGCACAGACGAATACATACTGACACTCACCTACAGCCACGCAGTTTAACACAGAGGCCTTTTTAAACCACTGCTATGATTTTTTTAAAGATATGCTTCCCAGTTTCCGCTACCATTAACCAGACTGGGTCAGGTATAAATGATCCGCCACATTACTGTAAAAAACGCAACTCCACGGATGCATTTTCCCAGATCCCCATCAACACAGGGGAGGACAAATTCCTATCGTCACCACAGTCTCCGCTCAGGAACTACAAAGGGGCATTGGCTCTTATTTGACACACAGAGTTAGAAAAAGAAAACAGTACTATTGGGAGACCATGTGGCCCTTTTGAACACTCCCGAAAGGCTGAGGCTCTTCCAACCCACCCGAGTCCGCAGGAAGTGGCAATACTCATCCTTGCTGGGGCTACAGACAGCTGGCCAGTGTCAAGGAGCAAGGGCTGCCCCCCTCACCACTTCCTCATGTGGCCTCGACTTTAAACTGGGGATTCGGGGTGATCCCGTCAGCTACCGTACAGTCAACAGTCCGGATCGCTGAGAGAGAGAGTTTAATGTTCTTTTTTTAACTTGAAAAAGTTATATACACACACACACAGAGGCAAAAATAAACAAAAGAAGGAAAAAAAAGAGTGTTAAAGAGAAAAGGTTTTCACACACACAGCAGCTGCCAATGGACTTTTAGAGTGCTGGTCCCATTTTGATTTCCTTGGCTGCACCCTTCCCTGCCCTCTGCAGCCGTGCGTGCAGCACAGACGGCACGCAAGGCAAGCAAACAGAACGCACACGACAGGAATATGACGTCAGCGTGAGAGACAACGGAAAACAGAAACGGGAAACGCTGAAGTGACAGAGCTTCACCAAGCACGCGCATCTGGAGCTTTTCAGAACCAACGCAGGAACTATAGTGCCTGACCGACCGGGGCCGTTCACAGAAAAGAGGGAGAAATCTCTCATCTGCAAGGCCTTCTTGAGGCAGAGCTGGGGGCTGGAGGCTCATGAGACCGCCATGGGGCTCCTAGGGTAAATGGTTCAAATAATCCAATAATCGCCAAAAATGAATAATTAACTTAAAAACGAGCACTTCAGCAGTCAGGATTTTGCCTTGTGAATGGGAAAAAAAATGCCTTGTCGTGTTTCAGCTCTTTATTTGCAGATGCAACCTTTTAATTGTTCAATGTAAGCTGTTGGCAGAGTTTAATGGCAAGAGCCACTGTTATAAGAACATTCCTATTCTAAGGAGGTCCAAGCAGGATTTGACAGGGAAAAAAGAACATTTTCATACACGTGTCGGTTTTCGCACGGGACACACAGAAGACATCTGAAAAGGCCGCTCACAAATCACGTTTCGTGCGACTTTCCAAAAGCACAGGGAAGAGAGTAAACTCCACTCCAGATTTAACCAGCTGGCAGGCAGCTGAACAGAGTCTCGACACTGTACCATGTGATCCTGGAGAGAAATGCTGTTAACATGTCTTGACAGGCACACTGACATGTGTGACAGCTCTGCAAACTCAAATATGGAGGAAAAGTGTTGTGGTATCATAACACAGCACAATGCAGCTCCCCTGCTGTTGCAAGACCTGCCAGCACTGAAAATGCATCACTCGCGAACCCCTGAGAGCCTGTATTTAGTCCTGTTAACGTATGTGTAACAGTCAGTTAGTTTGGATGGAGTGCATGATACTCTGACTTGACCAGTATCCAAGTCAAGCCCAGAATGAATAAAACACAAACCCCAGATACAGCAACAACAAAAACATAGACAAATGACAGTTTAACAAGTTCTACAATTTGCAATTTGACTGCACGTATAGGCCAAGTCGAATAACGCCCGCCCTGTGTGCAGTGAGAAACACCAGTACAGGTACAGTACGCACAAATCAGGAACAATAAAAGGAGACAGTATCGCTTCCCCATTCTCATCCTGAAGCCCCATCTCCAAGTCACGCTTTCCACTATTTCTAAATTCGGAAAAATCGAACATTTATGCCGCTTCCTTCAAATCACAGGCCGTCAGCTTCTTTTTCACACTGTGAGCAGAGGAAGAGAAGAGAGGCAAGCCCAACGCAGCTCTCACTGACAACCCTGCGAGCCTGTGCAGTGTTTTGTCGCCATGTTTAAAGAAAGATATTGCAGCTCACGAATCAGCCCTTCCATCTGGGGCTTAAAGCAATGTCCTGCCCTGACATGCTGAAAGACCTGCAACATGTTAGTGCTGGACAGAAAACTACAAGAGGGATCTGATCCAAGCATTCACAGATCTCAAACACAATGTCAAAGTCATCCAGTGGACGTGTTTGGGATAGTTAACACAGACCAGACCGCACCAGCGGAAACTCCATGGAAACAGCAAAACCAGGAGGCATGTCTTTATGCCTTTATGCAAAGGTTGGTGGGAGTCATGTTACTGAAGCAAATACACTGGTTTCTTCAAGAATCACCTGGGTGGGACCTTGGATAATAGATACTAAAAGGACTAGACAGGGCGAGAGGCCTCCTCTGATTTTTGTGAGCTTTCTTATGGTTTTTAACCTCACAGTTGTCCCAGTCAGCCAGAGCAAGTGCTGCTTGGTAACCCTAGGACATGCTGGCTGATTCAAGCCAATCCTGCTAGATATATAGGGAGCTAGGTCAGTCGGCACTGCTGCCTGGGGAATGCAGTCAGGTAATGAGAATGACTGCAGCCATCTGGATTTCGAAGTCTTAGCTCGCCAATGCACCACAGGAGTCTTGCATGTCTCTGTTTATTTTTTGCTTGGAAGCACCAACTATTTTCTACCTATCAATATGGAAAAGCTGACAGTTTACCAACTTGGCGTAAAGCTGCAACCCCTGCCCTGCACGAGGAGATTAAGAAAGAGAGCAGCAGTCAGTGCCATCCATTGTTTGACAGGCTGCAAGCCCCACAGTGTCTTAAGCAAGAGTAGCTGCTCATCGCTCACTGACATCACTTCAAGCTTGCATGAGTCCTCTAGACTTGTGTAAAGAGCTGCTGTTGGACTGAAAGCTGAGAAGATACTGACCAGATAAAGCACAATCGACCCTGGCAGTGCTCTGAAAATCACCCGCGGTTTCCTGATCACAGCCAGCAGCTGACACTGCCTGGAACATAACCGACCTAAATGCAATGAAGAGTGCAGGGTCAGATTTTAGATGCATCTCTGCCACTGACCTGAAATGAAGGACCCAGGAGGCATCTGGCTGTAGTTCGCACCCCCCATTGGCACAGCTCCTGATGGAGCAGGGGTGAAGGGGGCCCCAAAATTTGGTGGAGTGGCATAGGGTCCTGGGGGGATGGGCTGTAGAGAGAGATGAGGGGCAGTGTCACTCAGGACTGGTCTCAGCATCACAGACTGCATGGTACAGAGGTAAGGGCACAGGGCCATCACATATCAAAAAGCACCCAGTTACTAACACAGAAACACCCCTCTGAACTCATCAGCAATCTTGCAATGAAGTGTGCAACAGGTCCTCTCTGTGCAGGAGATACAAAAGTGGAAGCAGGTCTCAATCAACCTCACTGCAAATCCAGACAGATATATACAGATCCAACAGGCATATGTATGGTAAAATACACTGATGCCACTACATGAACCGTTAAGAGGGAACCATAGCTCAGTTACTTGTTAATTTCACTGGAGCACGCGGAGGTGGATGAAGTCTGTGAAAGGCAATATAGAGATGTATGTTAGTCCCTCTATAGACAAGCGTTATTATGTGAAGATCCATGAGTGTGGATGTTTACCGGAGCAACGTGCGTCTCATTTCCCTTGCTAGCCAGTCGGCTCAGGATGCTCCTCTCGGACATCTGCAGGCGGGCAGCTATAGGGGGAATCCGGGACAGCGTGGCCGGCAGCCGAGTCACATCTGCTTTCATGTCACTGAGCAGCTCCTCCAGCTGGTTCAACACTGCAGCGGCAATACACGTTGATAACCACACTGTTGTGATCCCCACACTCAGCATCACCAACACACATGGATCTGAGCTCCACACACAGCAGTGCCAACACACACGGATCTGAGCTCCACACACAGCAGTGCCGACACTCATGGATCTGAGCTCCACACACAGCAGTGCCGACACTCAGGGATCTGAGCTCCACACACAGCAGTGCCAACACACACGGATATGAGTCCCACCAGCAGCAGCAGCAACACACACTGTCGGATCCTTACGTTACAAAGTGCAGACACGTGTGTGCTTCAGGATCACCCATGTTTACTTCGTACGTTAGTTCTCTCTACTGTATTTTACTCTACTTGACATTGAATTCCACACGGGATGAAAACGGACCCAAAGAAAAAGAATTCATTTACCTCGTGGGAATGTTTACCCATCACCTGTTTGTCGGGAATTACTATCCCTGAGAGAACTTTCCCATTTTTTAATATTTGGTCTTCTCCGGAATGGTAATACCTGTCCACGTGAACTTTGAGGTTTTGCGGGAAGGTTGGAGTGGGTGTGCTTCACCAGTGCCAAGGTGTTTCAGATGGGGAAACGTTAGAGAGACAAGAGGCCGGTCGGCCCACTGTGCTCCTTGGTTTCTAGCGGATTTCAACCAGCTGTTTTTTCCAAAAGGCCTGGGTACTGGCTTTGGCAGGGCCTGCGGGTGAATTTGTGTTTTTGCAGTGCCAGGGCGTTCTGGGCAGAACGATGGGGTAGGCAGTGAAGGCTGCGATGCTGCTCACCCTTGTGCAACACGGCATTGGCAGGCTTGTTGCCCGCCAGCGATTCTTTGGACAGGTGCTGGTGGGACTCTGCCAGGCACTCCACCTCGGCGAAGCGGGCGTTCAGCGCCATGGCTGGGTGGCTGGGGTCCTGCGTCATGTTGAGGTAGGCTGCCCGCCGTAGCTGCTCCTCGATCACCAGAGCCTGCTCCAGCAACTGAGCGGCGCCCAGGGAGAGAAGACGAGAGACAGATTCATACCGACACATCCGTTCCAACAGTGGAGCAGCAGACCACGGTAGAGATAAAGAGAGAAGGGGTTCATGTACAGACTGAGGCTGGAAGGGAACTGGGGACACAAGTGCTAGAAAAAACCCTTTCAGAGTGGGAGAGAGCGCGTGGGGTGGGGGGGGGTTAATACTGACCGTGACCTGCTGAAAAATAACCCTGCAGAGGTAGCAGGAGGTGAGGGCGCCTGCCACTAGGAGTGAAGGCGAGGACAGAGAAGCAGAGCAGAGAGGACGTGTCAGACAGGATGTGAAACATGCGAGACGAGCAATAACAGGAAGACCAGGCCAAACTTATCAAAACAAAATGTTAAAAAAACACACACAAGCATCTACTTCTTCCCTTTCACACTGATCCGAAATCATTTCCCAAAGCTCTTTTCCACTTCAGTTCGCAACTCCAAACTGCACTTAATTTTTCCACTATTTAAAGCCATACTTAGCAAAGAACCTTGGTTCCAAAGCACCTGTATTTCAAAGATTTATGACAATACTCTAAGCCATATAAATCTTTCTAGCAGATGGGTGGGGTTGTAGAGTGTGATAGGCCCAGCCATGAATGTACAGGCACTGTTTTACCAGATGGTTCACAATGACTCCCTGGATCTGTCCAACCCTGATCTGTGGTTATTACTCATTTCTCTTATACTCCCTGCTGTATAAGTCAAACTGTTTCCCTGCCCTCCAACAACTTTCTTAAGACACAGATAGGATAGAGAGTGGGACTGGACGCAGAACGCAAGTGCAGAAGAGGACACACAAATGGGCAAAAAAACCCATCAGGAATGGCTTTAGTCACCAAGGGGCTGAGAGATGCCCATTTTGCATTTTGCAAGGGTTGACTTGGGGGGGTTACTAGTCAGTCTGCTCACCTTGAATCTCCTGGCCAGGAACTTGTTCTTCATCTCAAGAAAGTTGCCCTTGTTGGCCTCTGTCTTGAAGGGCTCGTTGATGATGGCAAACTGCGAATCATTCTGGATGTCTTGCCAGCGAGCGTAGCCATGCCTCCACACAGTCAAAGAAACTCAGCTTTCAAACCAGTCTTAGATATGTTACGGGGTATAGAACTCCAAAGGGAACTACTGGGTCCTCATTATATCATGCGACTGACCACAGCAAGCAAAGGAACTGCCCCACCTGGTGGTCATATTCTCTCTGACTGAATAAATGGTAGTCACAAGCTCACAAACTATTAACTGACCACGTATCTTGCCAGCAAATATGATGAAATAACTAACAGTCATGCATGCAAGAACCGTTAACAGAATGCAATTAATTATAACCGGTTTGAACACTGCCAAGAGCTTCAGACAGTCTGATGCCTCAGGTGATATGTTGACAATTGGCACATGAGCACAGGATCAGTGGAACTGATGCCAGCACCTCTGTGATAAAACGGGAGAATACAAATTCTAACAAAGCCTTCCAACCTTAACTCAAACTAACCACACAGGTATCCCACTGGTGCCCACACCGGCATCATAGCCTCCGTGAGACCCCAGTTCACCTCCCCACCCCAGCATCCCCCCAGCTTCCACGGCGATGGCTCCAAGGATACAGCACGATGCCCGCCAGCAGCCAGTAGTCGTGACGCCGGTGCCAGATCTCGTTCATCTTCCCCGAGGAGATGGCCGCCCGCTCCTCGTTCTGCCACAGCGTGTGCAGCTCTGCGGGGGCGTGGGGAGAGACACGCGTGCGGTGAGGACGGGGAGCCACGCGCCCGTGCAGAAGTAAACAAGTGCGCGTGGGTGCGGAGAGAAGGGATAACAAGACTCCAGATATTTTCAGAGCACAAACACATTATCCAGGGAAAACTCTGCTGTGTACATTTTTTACCCCCACATTACAGAGCAGGATGAAGCAGCCCTACATAAAGTCCAGAGAAGACCAACAGGATCCATCCTCCAGTGTAAAGAGATGAGCAATGAGGAAAGACTGAAGGACCTAATCTTGCTAAAATTCATTTCTAAATTTCAATAACGTATCTTTTATGGACAGGGTAAAAGATCGGAATTGTGTTAAGTCTTGAAAACAGAAGGCCGTGAGAAAAACATTTATACAACTATTATAATTCTTGAAAGGTTATGGACAAAGTCTATCCAAAGGAAAGAAAATAAGACAAATGGCCTCCTCATTTGCAACCAATCCCTCTTAGTTCTTATTTTACAACACCTGTGAATCCGCCATCAGCGATGTTGAACATGAACCGCGGGCGCTCAGTCCTCCCGTTGCCCTTGACCTCCTCTTTCGGCCCCCTCAACTCTTTCCCAGGATCCTTTTCAGATTTCATTTCCTCTGCAAAAAGAAGAACGGGGGGGGGTCAGAGGTCAGCTGGAGGCAGCATGGACACAGGCTTCTGTGATGCCACAGGATGTGCAAGATGGTTCTAATATTATAACATCAAAACCCAACAACGTATGGGCATTTAGTTTGTATTATGTCATTCTTGTACTGTAGGAACATGTAAAGATTTATTCCATGCTGAAAGGTAAATAGACAACGTTTTGGTTGTAGAACCTTCTCCAGGTCCTAGGGAGGATGCACACAACAACCTCCTCCATCATTCCCTTGAGAAATCCAGTCACTGAGCTTTCCGCTGAATTTCTCTTCTCTTAAGAAATAATTTATATATTACCAATATTCTATGTAACTACTGTCGTTATAATTTTAATTATTCGCCAAGTTAAAGTATTTTATTTTTAAGTGAAGCATGTATAAGTTCACTAGTAATTCTGCAGAATGATTTCTTATCTGCACAGTCAGTCAGACTGTGTTACATCCCTCCTAGTCTTCACACAATTACCCTTTACTGGTCTGATCCTTCAGCTGAAAAGAAGGAAGCACTGTTGTCTGAACCTGTAGTACCTTGAATTAAGTATGTTGGGTTAAGCTTTTAAACTTTCAATGGCAACAAAACTAAATATAAGTAAATCGAGATAATAATGACATCTTTTAAACTGGACTGAAAATCATCAAGTCTCTCAGAAGCTCAGACTGAAATCAGACACCTTTTCCTTTTTTCCCCCGATACAGTTTGGTTTACTGAAACCAAACCTGTTGATCTTGCAAGGCCTTACAGCTGTTTTCTTTATGTAGAGCAAAAGTAGTCCACATGTATGGGAGTCATCACACGCGTGCATTAATGGCAGACTACACAGATGGATCTACAAAGCCCAGCGGTCAGTCAGGTCACCTTTCTTGACCTCAGAGGACTGCGTCTCTGGCTTCTCCTTGGACTCTGCGTCTTCTGCTGCCGCTGGCTCCTCGGACTTCTCTTCATCTACACAAGAGATTAGGAAAACTTCAGATGGATGTGTGAGGAACCCCCTCTAAGAAGCACATTTAAGACCAAGAGCAGGAGACATTTTTCACATTTTCCTCCGAAAGAGGATTCTTAGCCATGCTGTCAAAGTTGACACCCTCCCTGGTAAGAATGAGATCTTCAGCTACTAGAAATCAGACAGGGTACATGGACCAAAGGGCCTCCTCTCTTTGTGTCTTGCTTATATTCATTTTTAGAAATGCTATCCTAGCCCAGGTACATTGGAGCTCAAAGCTTGAGCTGCTTTTACACCTTCACTAGTCTTTTTCTGCACAGGCCAAAGGGAGGCTGTGCTCAGATTTGTTTTTGACAAACAGATGCAGTAAACACTAGAAGGAAAATGATGAAACCAGGCATCATGAATATTCAAGCAATCCCTACGTTTCAAGAGACCAGAAACCTACTGGTCCACAACACGTTACTGCCAGTGTCTGTGGCAGGACCTTGTTTCTCCTCCCTGAGGGGTGAGGGCGCTGTGGCAGGAGCTGGTGAGGCAGTGTCCCCAGAGCTCTCTTGCTCCCCGCTCTCCTCAGCTTTCTTCTCCTCCGACGGCTGCGTCGGCAGCTGGAGTGTGTCTTTTGGCCCCTCTCCTGGCCTGCGCCCTTCTTCACCGTCAACTTTCTCACTTGGGGGCAGGGCCTGGCAGTTTTCTTGGGCAGAGGCTGGAGGCTGCAGGAAAACCACACCACTGATTAGATACTCTCCAGTCAATCGTGCTCCAGCAGGGCCAAACACCCCCTCCAATCTAATACCACTCTAGGTTTACACATGCACCCCAAACTCCTAACAAGCATGCACAACTCCCAGAATCCCACTCTAGTAGGCACATCCCTCTATATCTCACACCAGTAGGTGCAGCTCACCAAATCCCACCATAACACAGACCCAAATCCCTAATCCCACATGAACAAATGCCCCACCTCTACAGAGTCTACATGTTCACTGCACTGCATCTCCTTCCCTGGTTCCGTCTGACCTTCTCCCTCCTCCTTCTCTCCCTCTTTCCCATTCTTTTCCGGTTTCTCGGCAGGAGCAGGGGTGGCTGCCAGAAAAAGGAAATTATGAAGGCTCTCTCTTCCTGCAACCCAATCAACGGTGCGTTATTACAATCCATGACTCCCAGTTTAAAAATGATCCTTTGAGATGCCATTTATCCAGAGTTAACAGAAACTTTGCACAAACAGGTGTTTCTTGTTGGGAGGCGCTTGCTGTACTGATATGCAATGTTATCAATGTGGGGACAAATTCTGAAAATGCTGTTCATGCCACTTCAAAGTTGTTGATTCCTGACAAACAGATGATGTGCGGACGTACCCACAATGTGAAGCACAGCAGCTTCTTTTAAATCCACAAGTGATGAAAGCTGGTTTCAGGTCTTTGCTTTGATTCTGTGAAGTTTCGTTGTGGTGGAGTATAAAATACTGAATAAAACAGCCTGAGCCAATGAGCTTCAGTACCTGGCTTGGAGGTGCAGGGTGTGTTAGTGCAGCTGGGCTCGGGCGTGGTGGTGGCTGTCTTGATAGCTGGAGAGGAGGCACGGGATGATTTCTTCGAGTCAGCGTTGACCTCCGGCTTCAGCTCCGGCATGCTCCACTTCCCGTTGATGTGCTCGAATTCCTGCACCTGGAAGAGGGAATCGCCGAGACACTGGAGACATCGGTTTCCCAATACCCCAGTCTGTGCCAATACTCCAATCTTGAATGATACTGTTTAAATAAAATTTAAATAAAACACCACTAATAATAAAACTAATAAAACACATCATAATTATACACAAAACACTTAAGCCTCTAATTATACTTCAGTCTCCAACTGTACTCCAGGGAAGATGCCCTAATCTTGCAGAGACCGTCTTCTTTTTCATACCAACCCAGTTAGAACTGCCAGTTACTTCCCTCCAGCCAGGAATGTCTCAAATACAGTCAACTCAATTTATCTGGGGGGGTTAGGGATTTTGAGTAGGGTATAAAGCCAAATTCTCATAGAGTCTGATTTTACCCTTTAACCCTTCAATAAAACCCTATTCACCTCTTACAGTAGTATATATGATATTCAATATACATATATAAAAACAGTACATAAAAGTAAATTTGATGACTGTAAAGGCTCCCTAACTAGCTCTTGTTGGCATGTATGATGATTTTTTCAGAAAACAAAGCGTTTTTTCCCCAGTATTTGTATTTTCTGGAGCCGACTGTGCACAGCTGCGACTGCGGAAGCTGCGAGTCGACCTTACTCCTAGACGTATAAAACCCATGTAGTGTGGGGGCCTGTGCCTGGGGTCCCTCCCAGCCCAGTGCACCTCTCACCTTCTTCTTCACCAGGGACATGACCCCGATGCGGGTGAGGACAGGCTGGCGGCACAGCCCCTCCCTGGGCACCCCGTCCGCAAACGTCTCCGAGCCGTCGGCCACCGGCTCACACAAGTGCCGCATGAACAGAGAAACGTAGGCCCTGAGAGGAGATGGGGGGGAGAGGATTTACTCTCCCAGTGGCAGAGGCAGGTAACATCTTTAAAAGACGGTTTATTGTCTGTCAAACATTTGGGTGATTTTACTTGGAAGTCAAGGATAGATATATACTAGGAATTCTTTTAGCTGCCAGTAAGAAAACAGCTTACTAAGAAACCCCCAGCATCTTAACAATGGATCAATGCTGCACAGGAGATTTACACAATGGAAAAGATCAACTTTCCTATAAGCCTACAGGCGGAGGGTTTAACAAATACTGGCAAGCTGGACTGGGTTTGTGGCCCTATTGAGACCTGATTTTGTTCTGCGAAGGAAGATGAAGTAATCTGTGTGTGGATCTGCTGGTGGTTTGTCGCGGTTTTGCTGAACCTATTTCCATATGCATCTGCCCCTGTATGCTGGCAAATTGTAAATAGTGAATTCTATAAAAATCCTAATTAGAAAATGAAAGATGAAAGCAGCACAGCATTTTATTTTGCACATGTTCTATCTGTAAATCCTTTCACTGTGAAATGAAAAAGTTAAACACAGAAATACTGTCTACGCCACAGCGTGTGGGTCCTGTGCTCCTTCAGTACAAGGAGCTGAGGTTTGGACTGAGGGTGTATGTGTATATGGGGGGGGTGAGCCGTGGGCTTACTTGAACTCCTTCTCGCTCTTGCCCCGCAGGTCCCGGACCAACCACTGGCAGGAGAAGGCGTCCTGGGACGGCATCCCCCAGCGCATCACCGCGTTCAGGAAGGCCTTGCGCTGCCGGGTGTTGAACCCCAGAACCTGGGACGGACGGACACACACGCTGACATGCGGGCCATCACAACGAGACAACGTGCAAGTCAGAGGGGCTCAGGCAAGGCCGGGCCGCAAACCACGGGTGAAATGAGAACGTGGGTGTAAATCAACTGCAGGCCACCCTGAATGCGCAAAAGTCAACAATATCCCCATGCCAATGCCAATTTTCAGCTAAAGCGCTCCTCTCCCCTTACCATTTTAAATTAAAAACCGAACTAAAATGACATTAATGACATCAAAACAATGTTTTGGCATGTTCTCGGTCTCTCGAAGTCACAACTGCAGTGACAATTGGCGTGATTTTGCCTGCTCGGGAAATGACAGAAACAATGGGGCAGTTCTGGGAGGTGCTCTTCTCCAAGGTAACAGGAGAGCAAAGCTCCCGAATTCTTCTGTGACCAAGAATGCCTAGAGGCCCAGGCACAGTGGCGTCTGGGTGCTGTCTGCACAGCAGGGATGCAATTTTGATTACAACATTGTAACCCCGCAAGACCAGTGTCGGCAATGTTCAGGAAGAGGTAGTCCTTGAAGATCGCCAGAATTCTCAGACATGTCTTGCAAGTGGTAGATCTTTGGGTTGTGTGAAAATGTCTCTATGCTCATACCACTGGCTGCCCCATCTGAAGTACACAGGGCCATCAGATTTGCCTTCAGAGTTCACGGTCGCCCCGTCTCCCCGGAGATCTGGGTGATCATGGTCTGTGAGATGTGTCCTGTGGGCACGTGATGAGGGTGGTGCCACACACTGGAGGCCCCCCTGCGAGATCAAGCTAACCACAGCATTTACCTGTCCGTGTGGGTGAGGGAGAGGGGTGTGACCTCTGGACCCCGCTCCAGGAAACAACACGGCCGCCCAGATGTGATCAGGGGAGGTGGGGGCAACACTCACTTGAGTAAGGCTCTCATCACCTGGCCTGATGAGTACAGCTGCCTGTAGCAGCTGCCTCCACTTCCCATTTCAAGGGACTTTTAGTCTGCACCTGAACTGACACTCTACCATCATTTCATCAGTGGAATATATGACATTACTGGAGCAATGTTACCCTTTTCTTTTCATCCTAAACTTACACCATAGGCAGAAAAGAAGCAGGGGAACTCGTACCTCGATGTTGCCCCCAACTCTGGCCAGGAGGGGGGGCAGTGGCTTGTCCTTCTCGTTTCTCAACTGGCGCCGTGACTGTCTGCGACCTTTGACCCAGCACAGAATCCGAGAAACAAAACAAAATGATAGTCCAGTCCAGATCAACAAGCAAGCCTCGTTGCAGACACTTATCATTCATGTTGAGTACGCTGACACAGCCCAGTAACAAGGCTCTGGGCTCTTACAGTCCCTGTGGAGTCCGGTACACTGACACAGCCCAGTCATAGGGCTCTAGACTCTTACAGTCCCTGTGGAGTCCGGTACACTGACACAGCCCAGTCACAGGGCTCTAGACTCT